TTCTTTTTTTATATATAATCACATAAATCCACATTAAACTTTCATATCGCATCACATTCTCTGTCTCAAGAGTTCCTCTGGGTCACACGGAGTTTAAAAGTAAGAGTTTGGGTTTGAATTGCATCATTGCATATTGTGGAGCGATTTATAAATGTGACATCACAAACCCAGATAAACCCCGCCCTCGGGACTGATAAGCGATATTAACGACGCCGTTGTTTACAATACAACCGGAGCACATGCCGCTGAGGTGAGGGGCGGGACGTTTAGACGTGTACTATAGGCGGTTTAGCCAATCATAACACACTGGGCAAGCTAACCAATCAGAGCCCATCGCCTATTTCTGAGGGAGGGGCTTCATAAAAGCAGGAAATGATCAGCGCGTTTCTCAGAGAAGGGACAGAGCGGTGTGGAATAAAGGTAAATTATGTAAAAAAGAATGCGTTTTTTTAAAAAACGAAGCATTAACACATGTTAGACTGCACCCCATAAACACAATCAAGCCTAGAAAAAAAACAGTTAACCACCCCAGTGTATTTATATATGTATATGCAAATGCAATTGCTCTGGTGGACCTCACCTGAGGATTATGGGTAGTCTTGTGGCATCTACAGGAGCAGATGATCACTGAAGAACCTCGCGGTACGTCTGTCTTGAAATCTATATATATATATATATATTACTGTTAAAAATCAAAGTCTCTCTGGAAAAACCATGACTGGGATTTTTCCTCAGTAACAGAAGTGAAGTATTGTGCTCTACTGACACACACTCATCTGAAATCCACTGAAATTCATTCCTCTCGTCTGCCTGTTTCCTTTTATCTTCCCTCTGGCTATAGAGCTGGAAAGGGCTTCCCGGCTCCTGTTTGAAGTCTGAAATGACAGTCATTCCAGGCTGCTGCAGTTTTTCAATCTGGAAACATCAGAATGGAGCGTCAGAAATGAGTGCTTTGAGCTCTGACACCCATAATACACACAAACTATTACAGTCAGATTCACACGGACCCGTCTGAAAACATCCGAGATCTACATCCATGTGGGATCGGCAGGATTGTTGGAAAGATGGCAAACGTTCCCTGGAATACTGGAGTCTGATTATGTAACCATTATTATATAATATTGCATAATGACACCGAACTGTAGTAGCGATTGTTACGTTAAACTGATTTTCTATCGTATTTCACTCCACACTCTCTCCTCTCAGAAAATCTTTTACACTCAAATGTAATAAGCAGCATGATTTTGTCATTATCACAGAAAAAAAGATACAAGTGTATTGCAATTATGCAAACCTAAAGTAAAGAGTTGCAAAAAAAAAATATATATATATATATATAATAAATATAAAATGTATATAAAACACACACACACACACACACACATTACAAAACAAAATATAATGGCAATAGAAACGTATAGTATAAAATACATACATACAGATATATATATATAAATAGGCTATATAAAACTTTTTTTTAATTACTTTTTTTTTACTTTTATACATTTTTTAATTAATTAATTAATTAATTAATTTACTTTTATAAATTAAAAAGTAAATTTTTAAGTTTTAAAAATTAACCCACAATTTAATTAAAATATTGCATTCTTTTAATTATTTATAATATATTACAAAATTTACAGATCAGACTAAATATATAAATAAACATTTTTAGTAGTTTAATTTAGTAGTTTGGTGTTTAATTTAATACTAGTAGTTAAAAATATAATGTCAATAGAAATGTATTATATATATATATATATATAAACGGTTTATATAATTTTTTTTTACATTTATATACGTATGTATTAGAAATTATATATAACACAATTTAATTATAATATTGTTTTCTTTTTATTATTTATAACATACTATAAAATTTACAGATCATGCTAAATATATAAATAAACATTTTTAGTATAATTGAGTAGTTTGGCGTTAGAAAGCGGAACTACAAAAAAAGCATGTTTTCAAATCTTTGTAAACGCCCCTTTTGCACGCCACGCCTCCCTCAACTCAAAAACCAATCACAAACACAGCTCTTACGGTCTATAAAAGTGAAGACATGTCTCGCTAGTTTCAATAAAAAGTCTAATATATTAGGAATACCTGTGACCTGAACCCAAATATAAACCCAAACATTCCATCAGATTCCTTCTGCTTGTAAAAACACTGCCCATATATTCACCCTTTTTTACACCGCTGTCTGTTTCTTTGTATTTTGGCAAGCTTTAACTTCCCATTTCCCGTGTGTGAGTGAATAAGATCAATGCATTACGCAGCGATCAGGCCTGAGGATGTTTTACACGGTGACCTTGTGTTTAACAACCATCACGCTTTTCCTATCAGTTAATCAGAATCACTTTAAAAAGGTGAATCACTGATTACTGCAAGTGACTCAATTAAAGCAGACAATTACTGCACATAATGACTGAATATGAAAAGCAATTTAAGGGGCCCTTGGCTTTTGGGGGTCCAAGGCGATTGCCGACCTTTGCCTGATGGGTAAGTGAATAAAATTATTCATTTTAATCTATGGAACAGCATGCTATCCTGTTAAACTGCCTGAATCTGTGCAAAAAAAAAACGTGTCAAGAATGAGTGCAGGTCACATTTCACCCCAAAATAAAAAGAAACAAACTACATAAATTACCTTATTAATAGAAAATAAATAAGATCTTTTTTTTTTGCATTCATACCAATGAAGCCCATTTTCCCCATACATTCATTAACATAATACAAAACAACCTCATTGTCATTACTGTAATGCAAAATGCTAAGAATCACTGTATTACGAATATGGTCAGATCTGAGATAAATTGTTTTTGTTCCTCTATTGTCGATTAGGATAAAAGCAATGGCTAAGGGCATGAATGTAAATGTTATAGGTTTCGTATTTTAAAAATAAATGTAAAATAAAATAAATGTTAGTGGTTTAAATGTAAGTAAATGTAATGAACAAAAAAAACTCTTGATATGCGACAGAAATGGGAAAAAAAATTTGCATTAAAAATACATTTAAAATCTTAGTGGTTCTTAAAAATAGCAAATAAAACACACACACACACACACACACACATATATATATATATATATATAATGTAGTAAATGTATTACAGTAATTACAGAAATAATATCACAGAAATAATGGAAAATACAAAAAAAACTCTCAATATATGACAGCAATGAAAATGATTTTTTTGGATTAACAATAAATAAAAAATCTAAAAGGCTCTAAAAATCTATTATATAATGAACAAATGTATTTAAATGTAATATAAATGTATTGCAGTAATGAAAATCACCCTTTTTCACAAAAAAATATTCATTAAAAATCAATTTAAAATCTTAACCGTTCAAACAATTTGCAAATAATAAACAAAAATAAATAAATGTAAATCTATTTCATTAGTAAAAAAAAAAACAGGATATGAATGAAAATCATATTTTGCATTAAAAATAATTTTGTACATCTACAAGGTTAAAAATGTATGATTCTATTATTTTTTCTTTTGATTTTGGGGGTGAAATGTGACCTGGTGATTCGCCTCATCACTCTTCTCAATCATTAATAATATCTTCCTGTCTGAATTATTTGGACCCTACACGTGCCGTCTCGTCTCCTCATAACACAGTTGTTTTAAGCAGGTTTCTGGGAGCCTGCAGCTCGACCCAGGAGACGGTGGCGTGAAACTGCTGCGTGTGCGTCTTCACAGAAGCGGGGGAGGATCGAGGCGCTTGTGTGTCCTCAGCAAAACTGAGATCATCAGCCCCGAAAGACACGCCACAATTTATCAAACCCTCAACGGCTGGCAAACAAAACCAGGGTTTATGAGCGTGGATCAAACATCCTGACAGATCCCTCCCAGCTGATTAATGATGCGACGTCAGACTCATTTCCACAAATCGGTTCTTTCAAACGGTTCGTTCCAATTAACTGATCTAAAAAGTCTACGGCGAGGCATATTAAATGCTCTAAATATAATAATGCTAAATATAGGCACATTTAATTAATGTGCATTTAAAATAATGGCAATTAAAAAACAAATGACAATATGACAGTAATGAAAAAATTTTTTGCACTAAAAATAATTTTTTAAAACTTGTCCTTAAAAAAAATTGTATATAATAAACAAATAAATATAAATGTAATGTAAATGCATTGCAGTAATGAAAATCACTTTTGGGAATAATGGGGCGGGGGTGAACTCTGGATGAAAATAATTCATATTCATAACCACTGAGAATAATAGGAATTACAAAAAAAAAATAAAAAATCTAGATATGATGGTAAAGATTTTTTTCATCCACTAAAACTGAATTAAAAATCATAATGGTTCTAAAAAATATAAGTATATAATAAACAAATAGATATAAATGTAATGTACATGTACTGCAGTAATAAAAAAAAACCTCTGCATATTACAGTAATGAAAATCAAACTTTTTTGCACTATAAATTAATTCAAAATCTTAATGGTTCTAAAAAGTATTAGTATTTAATAAACAAACAGATATAAATGTAATGTAAATGTATTGCAGTAATGAAAATCACCTTCGGGAATAATAAGAACTACAAAAAAAGCATATTACAGTAAAAAAAAAGTTATGAAAATCATTAAAATAACAAATCTTAATGGTTTTGGAAAAAAATAGATATCAATGTAATGTAAATGTATTACATTGAAAATCACCATTAGGAACAAAATAAAATAAATTTGTAGTACAGTAAGTTATTTTATCTCTCATGAGCTGAAATGTGTTTTTTTTCAACAGGACTAAAGAGAACTGTAATCAAGAAATTAGTTTTATTTAGTTTGATCTTTTATTTGAGCTTCACTGGCTGTATAAAAGTACCTGAACATTTATTTTCCTTTAGAAAATCCAACAAATACAGACTGTACAACATTCAAGTAATCAAACTGGAGCAACATAATCGTCGCAAGTACAAAAGAACTTGATTTAGTGACGCACTTGCACTCTTTTTGGAGATTTGTGTTTCATAATTAAACACAAGAAACGGAGTTGCATGAGGTGGATGGACGCAGGTGTTGAAGACATCCGCTTTACATCATGTCCAGCTGCATCAAAAAACATCAGTCAACAACTTAGCATGTTGCCAAATCTCTAATAAGTATAAAGGAGTTAATATACTTTCAGACCATAATCACACTCACAAATATAATCATGTATATGCTTGTCATGAAAACATCCAAACAAGCATGAAATGCTCACCAGATCGTCCACATCTCCAGTGTCGTCCTGCGCTGGAGCCGCTTGCACTTTCTCTTTCTGCTCAAACGCCAGGAACTACACCAGCAAACACAGAGTTAACCGATCATAATAACACACAGACTTCAACAACAACCTCGATGTGTAAAACAGATGTCAAACATACCAAATCAAACACTAAAATCAAAAATATGAGTTAGGCAATGTGCTCACTCTCAGGCCATCCAAGATTAGGATGAGTGTGTTTCTTCATCAGATTTGGATGCTTTAATGCACTTATTAAAATTAAAATGATCAAATCTGAGAAAAAATCTGATTCTGAGAAATGTAGCACTGCATCAGTGTCTCAGCAATGGATGCTCTGCAGTGAATGGGTGCCGTCAGAATCAGAGTCCAAACAGCTGATAAAAACATCACAATAATCCACACCACTCCAGTCCATCAGTTAACATCTGGAGAAGACAAAAGCTGTGTGTTTGAAATAACTTCATTATGAACACATTTTTTACTTCAAACCATTGCTTCCAGCTAAAATATGAGTCCATCATCCATAATATTGCTTCCTCCAGTGAAAAGGTGTTCTGGTCTGAATCAGGAGAGAAATCTGCACAGATCAAGCAGCGTTTACAAGCCAAAACAGCTCTAAACAAATATGTGGCTGGATTTTGATGTGAGAGACAACAGGAGATGCACTTTTTCACTGGAGGAAGCGTTATTATGGATTATGGACTTGTATTTTAGCCGGAAACAATGGCTTGAAGTTAAAATTTGTTTCAGCTTTTGTCTTCTCCAGATGTTAACTGATGGACTGGAGTGCTGTGGATTACTTGTGGATTATTGTGATGTTTTTATCAGCTGTTTGGACTCTCATTCTGACGGCACCCATTCACTGCAGAGCATCCATTGCTGAGACACTGATGCAATGCTACATTTCTCCAAATCTGATGAGGAAACAAATTCATCCTAATCTTGGATGGCCTGAGGGTGAGTAAATGTTCAGCAAATTTTCATCTATTCCTTTAATTAAATATAAAAAAAAGAAAGCCATATATATATATATATTAACCCATATAAGTAAGTTTGTTTTTAATGTGGTATTCAGAGTATGATAGTACTGAAATGTTGGTTTGGTGACAACACTAATAAAGTTGTGGATTGTTTCCATGGCAGCAGAAGGCTGTAAGTACCTGGTTTGCATCTTGTTTAGAAATGGTGCTTCCGTCCACTTCATCCTTGCTTATCAGTGTCAGAGCATCTGAAAACAAAAGCACATGCTGAAGGCATGAGCTCTTCAGCTTAACATGAGCAGAAGGCCTGTTCTTTACCTTGGACGAGCAGATCCCAGAACTCCTGAAGATTCCTGTCAGCAACGCTCTTCTTCAGGGACTGCATGTAGCTGTTGAGCAGCTCTGCGTTTACGCTCTGATGGAGTAAATTGCGATCAGGTGCAGCAGTAGGAGGTGTGTCTGAGCTCATGTACTCGTAGTCATTAAAATCCAACACTAAAAAACTGATATCATGCAGTGTACATGCAACATCTGATGCAAAAATAGTGCCAAAACGCAGGCCCCATTTACACCTGTCTCAGGTAATCTGATTACAAGTAGTCATGTAAATGGAGTCCAAAATTATTAATGAAAAAATAATTTATATCAATCTCTATTGGACTATAAAACTAATTTCAAGCATTTAAGCAGAAACAGAATAGTAAAAGGTTTTCATAATTAGTAACCAGTGTTGTTATATATATATATATATATGTATATAAAATTAACCTATTTCTATCATTTATATATAACTTAAAAATGAAATGAAATTAGAAATGTTGAAATAAAATAAGCTAAGTATTAAAATTAATACATAAATAATTTTTTTTTAAATAAATTAAAACTAAATAGAAATAATCATAAAAAAGACAAAATATTTAAAAAACATTATACCAAAATGACTAAAACTGAAAATATAAAAAAATAAAAAGCTAATTCAAAATACTAAAATAACACTGTCAGAAATATGTTCCATCAAGTCCAGACTTTTGATTTATAGTGGACTCTGTCCAAAACCTAGTGAGTTGCCTACATAGGCAGCTACCTTCTGAGGGAGCATCATCACAGAACCTCATATGTCAGTAATCTGGATGCTCTATATATAGTTTACACAAAGTGCACAGAAAACCACACATGATTGATTTCTAAAGAGGCTGATGCTGACATGCCGTTATGCTAATGACACAACATAACACAACATTCATAAGCATTAAAGAATACATCACACACACAAAGATTGGGTAAAACGGTCTACTTTAAATTAAACCAAAGCCATTTTAATTATATTTTTCAACACTGCTTCGTTCACAAACTTAACTTCTATTATTTTTTAAATGATTATGTGTTTGCCTTCTTTGCGGATGTGATTTGATCCTCAGAATTTGTCTGAAATCAGAAGTGCACTGAAATCCTGTCCAAAATAAGGTTTTGGACCGGAGCCTCAGACTCCAGCTGAGCTCAGACTCTCTGAAATGAATCCCAACATCCTCCGGCAGCTTGTTTTTCCTACCGACCCGCAAAAACTACTGATCCTTAAGCGATCCCTGATTGGATGCGGAGGTTTAGTTGAGAGCTCACCGATACGGACTGATCCCTGAAGGCCTGGATACAGGCGATGCTCTTCATGTAGTACTCAGGGCTCCTGTTGCCGAGCAACTGCTCAATCCTGTAGGTCAGCTGCTGGCATGCTGTCAAGGTTACAAAACAATGATTATCAAAGCGACCGCGGTAACAACAAAACCTGCAGCTAACATTCAGAAACAACACGAATCATTTAATGCCGAGCGACTATTCAGTGTCTCAGAGTATCTTTCAGTCTTTAGCGAGGCCTTGCAGACATGCCAGGAGCAGTAATAGTGCATTTACATTACAGCATGTTTAATAGTAGACACGCTTGTGAAGGTTGAGGAGTGAGAGTAGAAAAGAAGATGAAACTGAACAATCAAATCTCACCCTGATCGAAAGAAACGGTCTGTCTGCAGAAATCTCTGACTGGATTGACGTTGCCAACCTGGAAGAGAGAGCGTCTGTTAAAGTGTGATACTTCACACGGTACTGAAGTCAGAGTGAATACATGTTCCTGGACTTATTGTACTCTGAAAGAACTTTTTCTGCTGACGCAAGCTCTGTCCTACATTTTTTTTCCTATTTAATATCCTTTTCACTCTGAAATACGTTGTGTTACGTACACAATGGATTGTGGAAGGTATTTTACATTGACTTTAAGACTGAAATGTTTTATGAATTTTAAGGAAAAGCATTAATAAAAAAAAACTAATAAATATAAAAATGATTTAAATGCATAATTAAGTACAATAGATGTATATATTACACTATTATTCAAAAGTTAGGATTTTATGTTTTTGAAAAAAATCTCTTCTGCTCAGCAAGGCTGCATTTATTTAATTAAAAATAATGTAAAAATAGTGAAATATTATTACAAATTAAATTAAGTGTTTTCTGTGTGAATATATTGTAAACTGTAATTTATTTCTGTGATCAAAGCTGAATTTTCAGCATCATTACTCCAGTCTTCAGTGTCACATGATCTTCAGAAATCATTCTAATATGCTGATTTGCTGCTCGAGAAACATTTCTGATTATTATCAATGTTGAAAACAGTTGTGCTGCTTCATATTTTTCTGGAAACCTTTTTTCAGGATTCTTTGATGAACACAACGTTCAAAAGAACAGCATTTATTTGAAATCAAAAATCTTTAGCAACATTATAAATGTCTTTACTGTCACTTCTGATCAATTTAATGCATCCTTCATGAATACAAATATGAATTTCTTTCAAAATGACCCAAACCTTTGAATGGTAGTGTATATACGTAAATATAAACGTAAAATATCTTGTCATTTTAATCTGAGTGATGTACATGTAATGTACCGATGTGAAGTTTCCCTCCGTAATCTCGGCCAGGTTAAACTCTGTTCGTCAGCACTGATAAAGACACACAACAGCAATTAATATGAACTAATCTCAGATTATGAGCAGTAAAAATGCAAGAAAGATCAGCCTCAAAAGCATGATGACACCACTGACACTGAAAACACACTCTAGGAGTGGGCAGTGCTTAAATCCTTTGTTACACACCCCTCTGGAATACTTCATTCTGATTGGTCAATCACAAAATAAACCCCTCCCATAAGGTTTGCATTACTGTGTTTCTCTTCAGGTTTAATGAAGGTAAACTTAAGACTTTTTTTAAGACCAAGTAAAGAAAATTTAAGAAATAAATGTAAGGGGACAAATAATAAAAAAATAATAATAATAATAAGTGAGTTTACAATTAAAACAAGAACAAATGTCTTCCAAAAGGGTTAGAAAAGAGCTTAATTAAAAGGGAAAACAAGTTGATTTTTCTGACCCCATTATCACGTTAGTTTCTGTTTTCAGCATAAACATACTTAATTTTGCTAAATTTCTCAGAAAACAAGACTTCATATTTATTGTCATTTTGCATCTCAAGTAAATGTATGATTTACTGAGAAAAGATATACTGGAAAACAACTGAGAAATATGTTCATTTTTTGCGGCGCATGCAACATTTAATGCCTCGACTTTATCAATGTAAGACTTCCTGCTCTGAATTAAGACCTTTTTGAGGTTTTAATTAGTGGAAGAGCAAATTAGGACTTTTTAAGGCCTGCAGAAACCTCACTGAGAACAGAAAACCAGCTGTGCAAATATGTGACCCTGGACCACAAAACCAGTCATAAGGGACATAAGGGAAGATTTATGCATCATCATTAATGTATGGTTTGTTAGGATAGGACAATATTTGGCTGAGATACAACTATTTGAAAATCTGGAATCTGAGGGTGCAAAAAAATCGAAATATTGAGAAAATCACCTTTAATGTTGTCCAAATTAAGTTCTTAGCAATGCATATTACTAATCAAAAATGAAGTTTTTATATATTTACGGTAAGAAATGTACAAAATATCTTCATGGAACATGATCTTTACTTAATGTCTTAATGATTTTTGGCAACAACAAAAAAAAAATCTATAATTTTGGCCCATACAATGTATTGTTGGCTATTGCTACAAATACCCCCCAGTGACCTAAGACTGCTTTTGGGCTCCAGGCTCACATATGTCTCCCACAATCTCTACCGGTTGACATGTATATGCTGGAAGTCATGTAGCGCTTCATCCACAGCTCCATTCTCACCTGCTGCCGAACACGTCTGTGCTTGTCTTCTGCTCCCTCTTTTTCACCACCACTTTCAGAGGGAACTTGGTCTTGACGTCCTGCAGAGGGGCCTGGCAGCGGGCCGACACGTCCTGGGGCCGCTCTAGATCCCTCTTCAGTCTCTACACGCGGCAGGGGATCGTCAGGATTCACACCGCAGTGATGCAAGCACCGAGGACACGAGCCAAGAAAAGATCAATGAGAGCCACTGCCGAGACACACAGATTTCACAGCCAGTGTCACACACCTGAATCACTGTAGTACTGAAGGACAGAGAGAGGAGATGTGAGGGTGAATAAACACTAGGGCTCTGTATCTGTAAGGTCTGGGCTCAGCAAGGATGCTCTAACTTCTTCAAAGGTGACATTAAAGACATTTATAATGTTACAAAGATTTCTATTTCTGTTATATATGCTGTTCTATTTAACTTCCTATTCATCAAAGAATCAAGTTTCAACAAAAATATGAAGCAGCACAACTGTTTTCAACACTGATAAGAATAGAAATGTTTCTTGAGTAGCTGATTTACTGCTCAGTTATTATTGATGCTCAGTTATTAATAATGTTTCTTATTATTATCAATGTTTTTGCTGCTTAATATTTTGTGGAAACTTTTTTCAGGATTTTTTAATGAATAGAAAGTTCAAAAGAAAAGCATTTTTAAAAAATAGAATATTTTGTAACATTATAAATGTCTTTACTGTCATTTTTGATCAATTTAATGCATATTTGCTAAAGACTGGAGTAATGATGCTGAAAATTCAGCTTTGATCACAGAAATAAATTACACTTTTACTATATATTCAGATAGAAAACAGTTATTTGAAATTGTAATAACATTTCACAATATTTCTGTTTTTACTGTATTTTTGATTCAATAAATGCAACCTTGGTGAGCAGAAGTGAGTTTTCTTTCAAAAACATAAAAAAAAAAATTTCTACTGACACCAAACTTTTAATATTATGAACTAACAATGAAAAACATTTATTATTCTAGGTTAAAATTAATTTACACATATACTATGGTTCATCAATTTACACAACTTGAAAATACTTCAATATTTGTTTATTAGTAAGTGTTTGTGTATTTTCAAGATGTATTAACTAATAAATCACAGTATGTGTGTAAATTAATTTTCACCATAAATGCTGTAAAGGTACTATTCATTTTTTGTTTATATTAGCTATTAAATGATCTACTCATTGTAAAAGGTAAATATTTTTGTTTATGACTATGTATAGTTATTTACATTTATGCATATGAATGAAAATGCTTAAATATTCTTCTTCTTTGAGTTTATTTAGTGTGAAAATCTTTAGCTAGAACTGTTTTTTACTATTTCCATTCAACATTCTGAATCTATGAATTGCTTTTGCTCCTCTTTTGTAAGTCAGTTTGCATACAAGCAGCATCAGCTAAATGCATAATGCAAATGTATTTGACTTTTATGACAGCATCAAATATTGTCAGGCTGATAAAAACAGAGAAACATCCACCACTCCGTCCCATCATGCCTGGAAAAGTCTCTGGAACTGTGGGTTTGGAATGTGGTTGATTTTGAAGACGTCCACGCTCTCTCCATCATCATCTTTTTCCACCAGCATCATGACAGCTGACAGCCGAGACTCTGACCAGAGACATTCACACAGAGACCATCACAGTCAACCAACAGCATCAACATTCGTCTCCTTTAGTCTGGATGTGCCTCAGAAGATGGGCTTTCTGTAAGTTTCATGAAGGCAAATTCAAGACTTCAAGACCAATTAAAGAAAATGTAAGGAATAAGCACAATATCTAAGGAGAAACACAATGAGTTGAATTAGCAGCATTTCAAAGTTTGCAAATACAACTTCTAACCGATCTCCATTACTTTTAACCAAAAATAGCTTAACTAGAATATGGAACTAACTTTTACTGTATCTTCTGAACACACTGCACAAAACTGCTGCTCTTCCTCAGCTACTTCTCAGTGCATGTCTAAACATTTTTTTTAAATCAAAATGCAAACACGACACATGATAAGTCGTCTTTTTTCCTGAGAAATGTATCAAAAGGAAGTGAATTTATGATGAAAAAGGACAAATATCTACTAATGGGCTCAGAAAAAAAAATCTACTTAATTCGAAATGAAATCAAGTTCATTCCCCATTGACAGATATTTGTTCTCGTTTTATCAAAAACTCACTTCCTTTTGATACATTTCTCAAAAAGCAAAAAAAACAAGACTTGATTTTGCATTTAATGATGTTCTGATATTTGTATTGGAAAACAAAATAAAAATACTGACAAAGATATTAAATTTAATGCAATGCATGCAACATTTAATGCCATGACTGAATTATGAGTTTAAGACTTTCTGCTATGATTTGAGACCTTTTGGGGCCTTGATTTGTAGAAGGGCAAATTAAGTCTTTTTAAGACCTGCAGAAACCCTGAGAAGACCAAAGAAATTGCTGATGCAGGATAATGGTGCAGAATTCAATGAATACAGGTGAGCTGTATACACATCTGCTAGAAACCGGCTCCTGTTTTGAGGGTGGTTATGTGAGGACCAACCTGAAGGCGTGAACTTCTTGTTGTTGTCCAACACTGGGAAAGTGAACTGTCGGAGATCCTCCATAAACGGCAACTGCACGTACAGCAGACACTGAGGACAAGAGACATGATGAGTGACTCTGGTGTGCAACATACTGAAGATGAATCATTTATAGTGTGTTTTCTGTTTGATGTGAATCCACATACTTCATATTTCTCCTTTATGCAGGGAAAAGCGGAGCCCACTTGAGGGTTGCTGCGACGATCGTAAGCATAACTCACAATCACTGCCATCTTTAGACTGTCGAGGTCACGAATCAGAGCGGACAGCGCCACTGCTGCATGCTGCACACATACAATAAAACTATTCATCTTTAATACAAAATATGTGACCCTGGACCACAAAACCAGTCATAAGGGTCAATTTTTCGAAATTGAGATTTATACATCAGATTTCCATTGATGTATGGTTTGTTAGGATAACCTTTGACTGAATGGTTCTTTGTGGAACCAAAAATGGTTCTTCTATGGCATCGCTTGAAGAACCTTTTGAAGCACCTTTATTTTTAAGTGTATGAAGAATTTTATAGTAAAGTTCTTTCATCTTGTTAGGTAACAGAAACTTGTTAATACCGGCCCATATTTTAATAGTAGAAAGAAAAGGGTCATTTATTTTCCACTTATAAAATGCTTTAGGATGACAACTAAACTTCTTAATAAGGATTTTTCTAATCCAGAAATTGTTACATTTAACGTTAAAAAGCTCCAGACCTCCAATACAAATTTTTGGCATTTCACATTTTGAAGATCTGTCACAATTTGCCCTAATCAAATGTAACAGTTTAGGTGAAATATAATTAATAACCCATTCATACACTCTAGGTGAGGTTTGTTAGGATCGGACAATATTTGGTCGAGATGCAACTATTTGAAAATCTGGAATCTGAGGGTGCAAAAAAATCCAAATATTGAGAAAATCATCTTTAAAGTTGTCCAAATGAAGTTCTTAGCAATGCATATTACTAATCAAAAATTAAGTTTTGATATATTTACAGTAGGAAACTTACAAAATATCTTCATGGAACATGATCTTTACATAATATCCTAATGATTTTTGGCATAAAAGAAAAATCTATATTTTTTTACCCATACAATTTATTGTTGGCTATTGCGACAAATATACCCCAGCGACTTACTGCTTTTGTGCTCCAGGGTCACATATAATCAATGGTGGGGCCAGTGAACATGTAAAAAAAAAATTATTTACTTTTGCACCTTGTTATGATTATCAGTTATCAGTATGTGTTTCTTACAAGAACTGCAGGGTGATACCAGCTTTCTTCAAATTCTCAATGAAAATGTCCAGCTGATCTTCTGAGGTCTGGACGTTCAGATCCGTCAGCAGGACGGTGTTCAGACGCTCAAACTTCTTCCCCCTAAACCGACAATAAAGAGTGTGACAACAACATTGAAACTTCTCAATTGCCTTTAAATAAGCAGAAAAATGTGTGACAAAAGGTTTCCTCCTGCAAAAGGTCCATGCAGACGACCAGAGCACCAAGCTCTGATTAATCAGTCAAGGACTTTACATAGTAGCATGAACATGTAACGTCAACAAAAAATTATATTATTAAATTAGATCAGAGATTCACAAACTTTTTTTCTCAGCTGAACTCATTTGATGTGAAATATAACAATTTTAAGATAATATTTCAATAATTTAACAACACATTCACAATTCGCTGATGGGGGTTAATGGCCATATGGCATGCGAATAAACAAATAAAAATATTTCTTATAAAATAAATATATATATATTTTTTATTGTTTTTGTTTTTAAATTATTTATATAAATTTTATGTTATATTATATGAGATATTTCAAGAATTGTACCAACACTTGAAGGACTAGTTCACCCAAAAATGAAAAGTTGCTGAAAATGTGATCACCTTTTTTCCCAGTTGCGAGTTTATAGCTCACAATTCTGAAAAAAAAGTCAGAATTGCGAGTTTGTATCACGCAATTCTGAAAGAAGCAAGGTAAAAAAGAAGCATCAAAATATATTTTCATGCATCAGAGGGTTAATAACTCAGTGAGCAAGCGAAAGGGAAAACATATTGTTTAATATACCTTTCCTAGAACGTTTTTTTTTCTTCAGCCAATTAATTGTGTCATCTGCGAGATTCCTACATGATAAATTCTTCAAAGGGTGCTCAACACGTGTTTTGTTTTGCAGATCACAACAGACACACAAACCAGACATGATAATACATATTAATTTTATTCTCTTTTGAGCATCACTGCAAAATAAAAATGCAAGTCAAATGATTAAATAAAAGAGAAACAACGGAAAAATTAAAACACTGATGAAAATGAAACATACAGTAGATTTCTCATAATGCATATGATATGCAATGATTTAAAATGTTCTTTGCACTGGTTATGAAAATAATATTTGGGATCATTGTCAGCCTACACACACACACACACACACACACACACACACACACTCTCTCTCTCTCTCTGCCCCTTTTATGTTCGTTTATTAAATTCTCTCTGGGGTTTGCAATCAATAAAACTACTCACTACTCACTATCTCACAGTTTATTTGCATATATTTATATATATGGCTTAAATTTACAGGGGGTTATGAAAAGCCTTTCCTCATGTGCTCTTTCCTTAACCCATCTGCTTTACAGAAAACATTTGTGATAAAAATAAAACATGCTAACTGTTAAAATAAATACAAGAAAAGAGCAAACAATAAATATTTTAAATACACATCACCTGAAAGCAGAATGTCTGACATACAATATGAAAAAATGCTGTTAAAAATAACAACTTTGTTGGTGAGCAAGAGACTTAAGTAAAACAAATTATATTTTTGGCCCAGAATAAATATTTTAAAGGGGTCATATGATGCTATTTCAATTTTTCCTTTCTCTTCGGAGTGTTACAAGTTATTGGTGGACACGACTAGAAATCAGTGGTTAAGTTGTATTTATTGTATTTATATGTATTGTTCACGGCTCTCTGATGTTGGTTAATGGTCACATGACATGCAGGTAAAAAAAACAAAAACATCTTGATTGATGTTATTTTAAAATAATTTATTTTCATTTGACATTTTTATGATTTAATTAATTATTTGCTTTTCATTAAACTCACAAAGCCCCTGCAGTTCCCTCATGAACCCCAGTTTGGGAAACCTTGATGTAATAAAGTTTAATGCACTTCATGTTGTAAATAACAACATTTAGGCTGTTCTTTTTCTATCAATATGCTACAAGATAATCCTATTTAAATCGTTACTGACTATAATATTTGTCATGCAATTTGGAATCAGTAACGGATTACAATTTGTAAGTAATCTCCCAGCTCTGCTCATAATATAGTATGATATAGTGAGAATATGGAGGGAAAACAGCTTAATTTTATTCAGAGGCCCAAACTGAGCAAAAATATGCAATTTGGTGCAGTTGCTAAAATATTCATATGGCCAAAAATTAAGATGAAATTCTGATGCTTATAATATAAATCAATGAGATCTTTATAAAGGTATAGCAGATACTTACATAAAATGATATAATTATCAGTCATCACTCTATATCTCCAATAACGTCTTAGTAAGATGATATTTAAATGCTTAGTTTGATGATTAAAGCTCTGTAGTTTCAAAACATATAATGCAATGCAATACGATGATTGAGAGATGAACAAATAAACGTCTGATGATCATATTTGAGACCCTAAGACGTAAAGTCAACATTTTAACATGATTATTCTAAAAAGTGTAGTATGTATAATCAAGTAAAGTAAGTTGCTTGAGTCCAGTAAATGTTCATCTTGAAATATTACTATTAATTCTTACATGACTTCATATAAATCAGTAAAGATTTCACAGCAAGAAGACACGTGACGCACGAGCTTGTGCCAAACAAGTATAATTAATCAGACAGCAGTAGGCATGTAGTAGATGGCGTGCAACAGGTTTTTCAGCAATCATAGAATTTATAGGCCTTAGAAAAGCATGTATCAAATAAAATACAGTAGGTTTATAGGGTTAAAGATGCTTGGTCTTTGAAGGAAAATCTTCCAGGAGAGAATGGAGAGCTACAGGAACGTGTTTCAGCAGTATAAGGATCGATACTGTCAGAACTCACTGGCTCAAAAACTGCTGAAGATTCAAGCCGAGAAAGAGGAAATCGAGAGGAGAATCAGAGCAACGGAAGAACAGATACTGGAAAAAGAGAGAGAACTGACGGCAGCACTGGGTAATTCACCTGTTTCCAAGTGCATCCAAAAAACACATAATTAATGTTTAAGTGCACTATTTCTATTAATACAGATCTTGTGTTTCGATAGGTGAGGACGAGCCAGACACTGATGCTGCTGACAGGTATTTTATCTTCCCAGCAGATTAGTTTTTTTGTCATGTTAGTTGCATTCATCTAATTAATATTATTTCTAGTAAGTGTAAAGACAATGACGCCCCACAAACTGAAAGCAGTGAGTCGTTTGATGAAATGGACCCCATAATGCAGGTACGTCTGCTGTTCACTACATCTACTCGAATAAGAATTGAGAAATATTACAACTGGTTGACTTCTATTGAAAAATGAAGATGTCGAGACAAGGCATTGTCAATTCTGTAACTCCTAGAGGCCTGAAGAATATGTAGATGAGCACATGGTTGCTGAAGATGCTTCTGAGGAGAATAAGGATAAAATAGCAGAAAGTGAATCTCAAACTGACACATTTTGCCAAACTGGAGAAGGTAAACACGAGCAAATATTAATATGAATGGAGGGTATCACAAAATAAACCCTAATGAGCACACCGACTGACCAATAACAATCAAGTATTCCTTTCATTTAGATTAAATGCAAGAAGGTGATCCGAAGCAGTCAGAGGAGGTGAATGAACGGATACAGATGAAACACAATCACCCAGACAACTGGGTCAAAAAGAAATGTTAATGTTTTTAAAAGAAGTCTTTAGTCAAAACTATATTTCTGTGATCAAAGCTGCATTTTCAGCATCATTACTCCAGTCTTCAGTGTCACATGATCTTCAGAAATCATTCTAATATTCTCATTTGCTGCTTAATTATTATCAATTACTATTGGTGCTCAAGTATTAATAATGATTATTATCAATGCTAAAATGCTTATCATCAGTGTTTTTGCTGCTTGATATTTTTGTGGAAACCGTGATACTTTTTGTTTCAGGAATCTTTGATGAAGAGAAAGTTCAAAAGAACAGCATTTATTTGAAAACGATAAATGTCTGTTCTGTCGCTTTTGATCAATTTAATGGGTCCTTGCTGAAAAGTAATAATAATTTAGTTTCCTTTTTTGTTTGTTTGTTGGAATCTTACTTACCCCAACTTTTGAATGGTAGTGTGTCACGGTCTCCACAAGAATATGTGTCAGCACAACTGTCTGATAATAATCAGAAATGTTTCTTGAGCAGCAAATCAGCATATTAGAGTGATTTCTGAAGGTCACGTGACACTGAAGACTGGAGTAATGATGCTGAAAATGCAACTTTGATCACAGGAATAAATTACATTTTTACAGATATTCACATTGCAAACAGTTCCTTTAAATTATAATAATAGTTCACAATTTTTACTGTATTTTTGATCAAATAAATGCAGCCTTGGTGAGCAAAAGAGACTTTTTTCAAAAACATGAAAAAAATCTTATTTAGTCCAAACGTTTAACCGCCAATGTAGATATTCTTATTAATGCAGGAGGGGAATATGAATGTTTCATGTGCTTCTGAGCTCATGGTGGAAATGTCAGAGGAGGAGGATCATTTGGAGGTGACCACAGCAGATGTTCAGGAGGACACAGAGAGCGAGGGTGGCGTCTGTCCTCCTCCAACACCGGCTAGAATAAAAGCCACACCGACCACCCCCATCTTCTCTCTAGAGTACGACCCCATTCATCAGTGTTTATGATGAAGCCTTACTCTATATGTTGCAAACTGTCAATTACATTAGTCTAAAGTCCATGTTTGCAACCCATTTTACTTCATGCATTTCTCAGAGATGCATCTACATGTACATTTATTCATTTAGCAGATGCTTTTATCCAAATGAGTAATATAACAAGCGATTCATCTTAAGTTGGCATTAACTTGAGAAATGCTAGCAATATAAAGTTTCAAACACTGTTCAGAATAGTAAAAAGCTAAAACAGGAGGGATATAAGAAATAATGAAATAAGAAGCATATAAGAAGATTTACTTTAAATCCTTCACAGTAAGAGAAAGTACTAGTTTGAGACTGATAACTGTTGGATCTGTTAACAACAGCAACAGTCTCAGTTCCTCACTTGGACGGCAGGAGATCTCAGACACCAAGTCGCCCGCTTTTGTCTTCTCCATGAATTCTGGTCCAAGCACACCTGCGTTCTCTAAGCTGGGCTGTGATTTTGCAGCAGAAGAGGTGAACTTCAGCAGCTGGAAGACCGGCACATGCATTGATTCATCATTTCATCTGTGTGTGTGTTTGTGTGTTGTAGGCATCTCCATTTACCTTCACAAGCTCCTATTTCAGCGACAAGGTATTTCTGTTTGTGCTTAATTGGTGAACGTTTTAAATGACTGAAAGCTGATTTTGTGTTTCTGGTAAAAGAAGTCACCAGGATCAGCACCCAAGTTCTCAGGTGAAGTATGAATATCTAACATCCAAACCTGTCAAGAACACAGCCACACTCTCAGAAAAAAAAAAGGTACAAAAGCTGTCACTGGGGTGGTATACCTTTTCAAAAGGTACACCTTTGTACTTAAAGTGTCCATAATGGAACCGTAAAGGAACATATCGGTACCTAAAGTGTACATATTAGTATCTAAAAGTTACAAAACTGTACTTTTTGAAAAGGTACCACCGGTGACAGCTTTTGTACCTTTTTTTCTGAGGACGCATTGCACACCAAACACAGAGAAAAGTATCAAATATATATTTTGCCTAAACAAGATTAAACCTATTTTTATGCACATTTACACTCATTAATACGGTTTGTTTCTCTGCAAGGTTTCCTGTTCGATGAAGCCGAGAGTCGTCAAGAGGAGTTTTCCTTCTCGTTTGGGACGGAGAGCCCTCGGCAGAACTCTTCCACACAGGACACGGCAGGATCTGTGGATTCATTTCCATTTTCATTCAGCTTTGGAAAAATGTAACTTCATTAACATAAATTTCCACCTTACAGCTGTACTTCAGAAATGTGTTCAAATGTCTGTTAGAGTCTGTTGAAGTTTCATTTTATATTCTAGATTTGTCATTTTGTTCTAATTTGTTTCGCTCAGCATATGATTCACAATATCTTATTTACAGATGTAATTTTAATATATGTGTATACTAAAATACATGCATTATAGTTAATAGAAAATTAGAGGAATATTATGTTCTTATTAAATGTATTTGGTGCTATATAAATGAAAACAACACTTAACAAAATTGACTTTAAAGTTCAAAAAGTCTTTCTATTTGTTTTCCTGCTACTTACAACAAAGCAAAGTATTTGAAATATATCTTTTTATTATATATTTTTCTTAAACGACAGGACAGTTCTTTTAATATGACATCCGGCTGCATCATTACATTCACTTTACATGTAGTTTTTATGGCTTACATGTATAGACAGAAACACTACTGTAAGTGAATAACTCACTGCACACTTAGAGAGATGTCAGCAAGACAATCTCAGAATGGTTGACAGTAATACAATGTAAAAAGGCCAATATGCAACACTGCTAAAGATGGAAGCTTGAAATGCTCTGAGGTGAAAATCACAAAAGTTGCATAAAGCACAGCCACTGTTTTATGGCTGTATTTTAGGAAATAGCCTGAACACCTATAGTTAGTCAAGCTATAATATGTTTTACTTTTCGCATTCAAGTTAGAACAATTTATGTTTATGTAATCAGTCTAAGCAGTTTATCCAACCGGCCACACCAGGCCATATTTCACCCCAAAAGCAGAAGAAAAATTATGTTTTGCAAAAAGAAAATTAAGCTATAATTATTGCATTGTGACATTATTTCCTTGATAATTAAACATCTTTCAGGCTTCCATATAATACAGAGTATTAAATACTGGAGAAGTAAAACATGCTGCACTAGTATTATCTACTGCTTCACACTAATCACACTGCATAGGCACACAATATAACAGTCACGTTACTGAAGCTCACAACTACAAGATACATGTTCAAACATTTAACAATCAAAGCACCAGGTTCATAATCACCACCTGTGCTTCATCACGATACATCAAACCATTTCCCTTATGGAAAGCTGCTGGAATGAAGATCTGGCAGAGTAGAACAGGGAATTCTATAGAAACTTTTGAGTTGATTGAATTATCTACTAACAGCAGCAGTTTTAGTATAAAGTATAACACAGTGTTTTCACTGGTAGTGACTGGTGTTGCATTGCAGCATGAAAGAAAATGCTAAATGTACTTTGCATTAGTTGTTTTGGAACAGCAATATAATTTTACATACTGACATCGTGCATAAACAGGTGCATAAACACAATACAGTAAAACTGTGAAATATTATTATAATTTAAAATAACTATTTTCTGTGTGAATATATTTGAAACTGTAATCTATTTCTGTGATCAACGCTGTATTTTCAGCATCATTACTGCAGTCTTCAGCGTCACATGATCTTCAGAAATCAGTATAATATTCTTATTTGCTGCTCGAGAAACATTTCTGATTATTATTAGTGTTGAAAACAGTTGTGCTGCTTCATATTTTTATGAAAATTGTGATACACTACCATTCAAAAGCATGGCCTAAGTATGATTCAAAAATAATACATGCTGTACTTTTGTACTTTCTATTCATCAAAGAATCCTAAAAAAACAAAGTGTCACGGTTTCTACAAAAATATGAAGCAGCACAACTGTTTTCAACATTGATAATACTCAGAAATGTTTCTTGAGCAGCAAATCAGCATATTAGAATGATTTCTGAAGATCATGTGACACTGAAGACTGGAGGAATGATGCTGAAAATTCAGCTGCGCATCACAGAAATAAATTACATTTGAACACATATTCACATAGAAAACAGTTACTTTAAGTTATAATAATATTTTACAATTTTCACAGTGCTCACAGTGAAGGGAAAATGTTCTATGGTGCTGAATATTGGGATCGTAACACCTAGTCCTATCATGCAAACAGGAGTGATCTAGTTTTGACACTGCATGAGTTCAGCGTAAACATGGTGCAAATGCAGGACTCGAATGTATCAGGTTTAGGCACAAATCTGGAGTTTTAGCCTCCTTTACTCACTAAAGGATCAGGCGTTTACCAGTTTTAACGGAGGAGTGGCAGTTTGGAGTGTTTGCAGAAGGATGGCGCTAGCAGTGTGTGGTTTTAGAACCCAGTGTCTATGCTGAGAGAGCGGCGGGTCACGTGTTCGATCTCTCCCGTCACGTACTCGTTGAAGGGCGTCTGATACTTGGCCAACATCTTCAGCATGAGTCTGAAGTTCAGCCACCACTGCGTCTTGGGCATCCGGTGTCTGCAGGGCGAGAGGAACGCTTTACTGATAGCAGTTTGTCCTGTCATTATGTATGTGTAAAGTATGTCATATGACGGAGCCTGCTATTACTGTTTGTAAAATACATTGAGAACTGGAAAAGCACTATAGAAAGTGGTATTATTAGTAGTAGTAGCAAATTGAATAAAACTGCTTTTTCTTCATCTCATAAGAATGTGCATCATTTTTTACTTGAAATAATAAACTTTAACTTAAATAAAATTATATATGTATATATAAACTTATTTTATGTGAGCTACTTGTCAAGGCAACATTTCTCATTTTCATGTAGTTTAACTTAATAAAAAATATTTAAAAAACAAAAAACTAATAAAAATGACAAAAACATACAACAAAATTACTAAAAGTTACTAAAATTAAAGTGAAAGCAGAAAATATAAAATCTATTTCAAAATATAAAAAAATATAATTATATATTTATTTTTTATTATAATATTATAATTATAAAAACTATAATAGTAAATAAATGAGTAAAATACATTGAGAACTGGAAAAGCACTATAGAAAGTGGTATTATTAGTAGTAGTAGCAAATTGAATAAAACTGCTTTTTCTTCATCTCATAAGAATGTGCATCATTTTTTACTTGAAATAATAAACTTTAACTTAAATAAAATTATATATGTATATATAAACTTATTTTATGTGAGCTACTTGTCAAGGCAACATTTCTCATTTTCATTTAGTTTAACTTAATAAAAAATATTTAAAAAACAAAAAACTAATAAAAATGACAAAAACATACAACAAAATTACTAAAAGTTACTCAAATTAAAGTGAAAGCAGAAAATATAAAATCTATTTCAAAATATAAAAAACTATAATTATATATTTATTTTTTATTATAATATAATTATAAAAACTATAATAGTAAATAAATGATACTAAAATAAGTAAATTTTTAATGAGGAAAAAGTTTAGTATATCTTTGCTTAAATCAATCTAATAAAAAAGAATACTATGTAGACACATTTAAAAGTAACTAATAAAATTGACAAAAATACTAAAATGACTAAAACGTTCAAATTACAGTGAAAGCAGAAAATATAAAAATAAAATCTAATTAAAAATTTTAACAAAAATATAAATGATACTAAAATTACACAGTTCTTTTTTTATAAGGATTTTTTTTTTAAGATGAGTACACCTTTGCTTGAAAATTATGATATTAGTGGTTATTATGAAGAATGTGTAGTAGTATGTAGTATGCACAGTAAAAAAAATCTAACAAAATAAGCAGTACAGCTACTGTTTATATTATATAGTTTAGTATATCTTGCATAAAATATCTACTTTGTTCTTTTTTTTCTCTACTATATTTTATTTTCACATATTTCTTGACAGCTTATTACATTCTATTACTTATACTGTGTGTGTATTTCCTTAAAACGTTATTGTTTCTGTTTGTTATTGCACATTGTATCACACATATGTAAGATGTATGTGACAAATAAAGAACTGTGTGTTCTGTGTGTAATTGTTAGAGTCACTCACTCAAAGTCCGTCTGGTCCTTCAGCTCAGTGACGGGACTGAAGGTCAGAACCTTCTTGTACAGGCCGACCACACAGGCTGTGTCCGGGGTGTTCACAAACACACGACCTGCAGACACAAACACACTGGCTTTATTCACGCTTGAACTGCTGCTGCACAGTTTCAGGGAATTCATTCTGTCGTGCGACTAAATCCCATTGGCTTCAGCAGGAAAACAACAGTGATGTGACCGATAAACTCGAGACTCTCCATTACAGTGATTTCAGATCATTAAACTCAAAACATGTCACCTGATGTGAATTTAAATTCTGAAGGATTTACGTAGCTATATTTAGCATGCACCTTGTCTAAAACTGTCGGTCATCTTCTCTGTCAGCCACTGCACGGCTCGAACGCCCAGTTTAGTGCCATAGTTTCTGTCAAAGGGTGTTGGTACTCCACCCTATTAATATCAGAAAAACAACATCAACAATGCACACTATTATAACCAATGCATGTTTAGAGATGAAACTCAAATCGAAACTTTGATGCACTAAAGTTTTTTGAATACCTCATGATTATGAAAAGCAATGTTTAGTTGCAAGAAATAAAATATAATGAAATGAATCAGACTTTTTACCCCCAGTATTTGTGTGTGTGTGTTGTGTATTTTAATGCTTATAAGAGTATCAGAGTATGTAGTTTAGCAATATGTGTGCAATAAGTCTCTTGTGTGCTTCAAATGTAGATCAGGTGATTTTAGAGGATGATTTACAAGTTGCACAGAGATGCTGGAGCACTACTCCCTTTCAGTGAAGATGCTCCCTTATGAAGTAGAAATCATTGGGAGCTCAGTAGGTTTTGGATCCGAGTCAAAACATTTTTAAATGAGTTCAGTGATAAAGCATGAGTCTGTACCTGCTGCAGGTGTCCCAGGACATTGACCCTGCAGTCGAAGACGCCTTTCCCCTCGGCGGAGTAGAGCTTATGGATGAAATCAGTGGTGTAGTGCACATGACATTTCTCATTCCTGTAAACAGGGCGATTTTACATTTAGTCTCATTAAGCTGCTAAATCTCAAGCATAAAGTCACAAAATAAAGGAATAGTTCAACCAAAAAATTTAATCTACAGAAAAAGTAGATGAGTTTGTTTCTTCATCAGGTTTGTAGAAATGTAGCATTGCATCAGTGTCTCAGCAATGGGTGCTCTGCAGTGAATGGGTGCCGTCAGAATGAGAGTCCAAACAGCTGATAAAAACATCACAATAATCCACAAGTAATCCACAGCACTCCAGTCCATCAGTTAACATCTGGAGAAGACAAAAGCTGAAACAAATCCAGCATTAAGATGTTTTTAACTTTAAACCGTTGCTTCTGGCTAAACTACGAGTTCATAATAACACTTCCTCCAGTGAAAAAGTCCATCTCCTGTTGTCTCTCACATCAAATCCAGCCACATATTTGTTTAGAGCTGTTTTGGTTTCACGGTGTGTGTGTTCACTGCTGTGTGTGTGCACTTAGGATGGGATAAATGCAGAGCACTAATTCAGAGTATGGGTCACCATACTTGGCCACATGTCACGTCACTTTAATCTTGGATGGCCTGAGGGTGAGTAAATATTCAGCACATTTTCATTTTTGTGTGAACTATTCCTTTAAAAATAATTAAAGAAATACAAATTGTTTCATTACTCATACATTTAATAAGCTATAATTTAATTACTGACGTAAACATTATGGTTGTGAGTCATTCATAACTAAAAGTCTTTTACATCAGTAAACCTGGCATTGTATATTACAAAAAAAAGTTTTGCTTTGTATTTGACAAATTGCTTTTGTTCCTTTTCTGTAAGTTGCTTTGGATAAAAAATGTAAATGTAAAGGTTTCAATTCCAACTCAACCTTCATGCAGTCGCCAGAGATACAGATGAGATCAGGGGAGAAATACTGTATCTTATTTTATCATATTTATAGTATTTAATAGTTTGTTTTTATGTCTAGACTAGACCTGTATATAAATATGTAATTCCTTTTGTGATTAAAACAAGTATGTGAATTGCAATGATGCAAAAGTTATAATTCTTAGTCATTTTATAGAATTCATTTTAAAAACAATTTAACTACCAGTCAAAAGTTAAAATGTTTCATTACTCATACATTTAATAAGCTATAATTTAATTACTGACGTAAACATTATGGTTGTGAGTCATTCATAACTACAAGTCTTTTACATCAGTAAACCTGGCATTGTATATTACAAAAAAAAAGTTTTGCTTTGTATTTGACAAATTGCTTTTGTTCCTTTTCTGTAAGTTGCTTTGGATAAAAAATGTAAATGTAAAGGTTTCAATTCCAACTCAACCTTCATGCGGTCGCCAGAGATACAGATGAGATCAGGGGAGAAATACTGTATCTTATTTTATAATATTTATAGTATTTAATAGTTTGTTTTTATGTCTAGACTAGACCTGTATATAAATATGTAATTCCTTTTGTGATTAAAACAAGTATGTGAATTGCAATGATGCAATAGTTATAATTCTTAGTCATTTTATAGAACCAGTCAAAAGTTAAGATTATTAGAAGGATTTCTGAAGATCACGTGACACTGAAGAGTGGAGTAATGATGCTGAAAATTCAGCTTTGATCACAGAAATAAATTACAGTTTAACATATATTCACATAGAAAACTGTTATTTTAAATTATAATAATATTTCACAATTTTTACTTTAGTTTGATCAAATAAATGCAGCCTTGGTGAGCATAAGGCACTTTCAAAAACATTAAAGAAAAAGCATAATTATTCCATGTCTATTCCTATTTTGACTGGTAGTTTAGATCCGTAAGCGTACATCTTAAATTTTGTGATGTGGATAAAGATGCAATAACTTAGGAACCTACAAATGTGTTGCAGACCAAAAAAGCTAGACAGATTTACCTCAGCACCAGACCTCTCTGAATGTCCTTCTTCATTTTCTCGGTCAAATGCTCCACATTGGTCTAAAAAAAGTATCTTTCTTAATATACTAAAAAAAACAGCATTTATTCTTCTGGGATGAGCAGATGTGAGGAGCATCAGGAGTGTTACTCACCTTGAGGTCATGGATGTTGAATGGATCTTCAAAAATATAAGCGGCGTCCGCACCGACAGCGATGCCTGTGGTGGTTGCCAGATAACCGCAGTATCCCCCCATAGTCTCCACCACAAAGACCCTCCTCTTGGTCCCTGTGGCCGACTGCTTGATCTTATCACAGCTCTTCATAAAACAAAGACGCACTTCAGATCAATAACTGGAGAATGGATGCAGTGAAGCAATAACACAAACTGCATCTTTATTAAAAGCTCATGCGATAAAGCCAAGGGAGTAAGATTTGGCAGGTGACTTCAGATGAAAGCTCTGCTTCAAAACTTAGTACTCTAATGAGCCTAAAAGTACATTTACATTTAAAATTGATCAGATGCATTTATACAAAGCGACTTCCATTGCATACACACATGGTATGCATTTGAACAGTTTATGCATTCCCTGAGAACCGAACCTATGACTTTGCAAAATACACAGGACACATTTTATTCACGTGTTTATCATTTTACGCCATATCAGCAAACTTCATGGCAAACTCAAGAATAATAAAATGTAAAATAGTCCTAATAACAATACTTCAATTAATTGAATACAATCATTTTAAAACGATATTCTTTTTTACAAACCAACAAAAATAAAAACAATTATATAAAATCTTTCAAAATGATATTTAACAAAATACAAAGCACATAAATATTAAGTCATATTGTCTGTTTTTTATTTATTGTTTTTGCATTTATAATTGCCATTACTCTGACTCTGTCTGTTATTTCGGGTGCATTTTTTTCAGTCGTATTGCATTGTGGGATTGCTTATGCATGCATAAGCCAAAAGAAGGCATCATAGACAGCATCATATTTATGCTACATATTTTTTGGAAAAGCATTTGCATTTAATGCATCTATGATGCCCTATGTAGCAGGGTTATTATAGTTAACTAAAACCATTAAAAACAATGTTATTTGAAATTAAATATATGTTAACTGAAATAAAATAAAATATTTAAAAAACATTTTATTTCAGCTAGTTTCCAAGGCAACATTTATCGTTTTCATTTAGTTTAATCTGATGCTCTAAAATAACTAAAACTGTAATAACAATGAGTAAAAACTATATACATATTTATATATATATATATATATATATATATATATAAACACAACAACATTACAAAAACAATTAACTAAAAGTAAAATGAAAACTAAATATAAAAACTCAATATAATTCAAAATAAATTATTATATATTAATCTCAAAGAATAAAATTCAAAATATTTATAAAAACTTGTTCTGCCTATATTTGGAAAAGCATATGTGTTAAATGCTGAATATGTAGCAGGATAATTATAGTTAAGTAAAACTAAAACTGAAAACCTAAAAAAAACATTTTTAATTAAATAAATGTTAACTGAAATAAAATAAAATATTTAAAAAACATTTGATTTCAGCTAGTTTCCAAGGCGACATTTCTCATTTTCATTTAGTTTAATCTGATGCTCTAAAATAACTAAAACTGTAATAACAATGAGTAAAAACTATATAGACATATTTAAATATATATATATATATAAACACAACAAAATTACAAAAAATTGAACAAAGTAAAATGAAAACTAAATATAAAAACTAATTCAAAATATTTATAAAAACTTGTTCTGCCAATATTTGGAAAAGCATATGTGTTGAACGCTGAATACGTAGCAGGATAGTTAAGTCAACTAAAACTAAAAACCTAAAAAAAATACTTTAAATTAAATAAATTCAATATACTGTAAATAAAACATAAAAAAATTTAAATTTCCTTTATTTCAGATAGTTACTAAAGCAACATTTATCATTTCATTCAGTTTAACTTGATGTACTAAAATAACCAAAACTGAAATAAAATAATAAAAACTATATAGACATATCTAAAAAAAAATAATAATAAAATAAACATGACGACACACAACTAAATTTAAATGAAAACAAAGTATAAAAATAAAAACTAATAGAAAATTTTAATACAAATTATAATAATATCTCAATGATACTAAAATAAGACTGACGGTGGTTCACTAGGTTTTGTAACAGAGCCACAGTCTTTTCCAAATGACTTCTCCATTGTTTTGCAAGCCACATTTAGATTTAGTAAAACACATGTGCCAGCCAGAGTAAATCTAAAAGAGCATATAAGAGTGTTTCTGAGTGCCGTGTGTCCTGTACTCACGGCCATCGCTGCGTTAACCGCAGTATCGCTGCCCAGACTGAAGTCCGTCCCTGGCACATTGTTGCTGATGGTGGCAGGGATGATGCACATGGGAATACATAATTCATCATAGCGTCCTCTTGCTTCAACCAACTCCAGGATGCCCTCATACGCCTGGATGTGACAGAAAATACACTCAGATATCTTCAAAAGCGGCTCGGACATTGTCTAATATCTCATTTTGTGTTTCATGGAAGATAACACAGGATGGAAATGATGACAAAACCGTCATTTGTGACCCTGGAGCACAAAAGCTGTGTTAAGTCGCTGGGGTATATTTGTAGCAATAGCCAACAATACACTGTATGGGTCACAATTATACATTTTTCTTTTATGCCAAAAATCATTAGGATATTAAGTAAAGATCATGTTCCATGAAGATATTTTGTAAGTTTCCTACCGTAAATATATCAAAACTTAATGTTTGATTATTAATATGCATTGCTAAGAACTTCATTTGAACAACTTTAAAGATGATTTTCTCAATATTTTGAATTCTTTGCACCCTCAGATTCCAGATTTACAAATAGTTGTATCTCGGCCAAATATTGTCCGATCCTAACAAACCATACATCAATGGAAAGCTTATTTATTCAGCTTTCATAGATCTCAATTTAAAAAAATGTTTTAAAAATTGACCCTTATGTCTGGTTTTGTGGTCCAGGGTCACAGTTGTAGGTGAACTACTCATTTAAGTGCATCGCATCACAATTTTTTCTCTGTACCTCAAAACCACCAACGACGAGCAGTGACTGGATGCTGAACTTGTTGAGATTTTCCACTAGTTTCTCCATGCAGGTGCTTGGGAGGGTTCTGGACAATATTGCGGGTACAAAAGCTCAGTTTCAAAAATGAAAGATGAAAGATTGGGTGAAAATGCATTGCTTATTAAAGGTGACTAACCGTTTAGTTCCCAGCAGAGAGCCACCCTGACCTGTCCAGCCGGCCACCTGATTCCACGACACTTCATTCACCTGCAACATCACAGTGATTTCATGAATATTCATATAATCATTACTATTATTGTTCTAAATGAAAAACAGAAAGAGAACAGGCCTGTTTCATTCTTATATGCAGAACCCGTCAAAATAAAAGTCTAGTTTAACTTTGATTGTGACAGAAATATATTGCTATTTTACAGCAGAATGTGCTTCTCAAAGTAATAATAATAATAATAATAATATTATTTATTGTTTAATATCAGAATTTTTCTTTCACGTTTCATTTTAACAGTAAAGCTTTTAATTTTAACGGTTGTTTTAAACATTGCTTGCCAAAAAATAAAAGGAACTGCTACTTTTTTATCTGATTACATTTTAAAAGATAAAAGATTTTAAATTAAATTGTTAATGTTAATGCCTTCATTTGATTACCACCATTTCCGATAATAAATTTGTATTTAATCACAAACCCGGAAAAATGAAAACACAAGACAATTTCTGAAAAAATTAAACATTTGATAGGGCACTGTTATTTACTGAAAACGTTAAATAAATTATTAAACTGTTATTGTTTTATGAATTCAATTGATTAGACATGTTTTAAAATTTAATTTAACCATTACAAAAGAGTCCAGAAAAATTATAACAGAAAAACACAAAATTGGTGAAAAAATATAAGAAGTTTCATAGGGCCCTGGAAATGTAATTAAAAATGCAATTATGGTGTTAAGTTTCAAGATTTTAATTAATTAGACATGCTTTTTGCTTTTTTTAACGGAATCCAGTACAATAAAAACAAAAAAAATGGAT